TGTAATACGTTCCGGTAACTCTTAGTGGGAGGATATCAAAGCGAAGAATGTGGATCTCATTTCTTTCCATTTCTTCATAATCAACGACATAGTTTGATTGTGAATGCAGTCATGCTGAACTGGTTTGCGGAATCTTAACTTACTGGCAAAGTGTATTTACCAGCAATATCTATTCCTTAATTAGTCGAACTTCACGCTTGTCGTTTTGTTAATGTTCTAAATTATATGCTTAGCTTAATAGTTACTTAATGTTTAACTATTTAGTTGGGTTACACTATAATTAAATAGTCCACATGAAGGTAATGCAGCCTTGTGCTGTGAAGTAGCTTAAAAGGGGNGGGGAACTCTGAAGAATAAGGGCTGAAGAGACAAAGGAGATCGCGTGACAAAGCCTATATTTTCGATTTCAAAATGGATTTTGTCCTTTGCCATCGATAAATGCGACTTTCTAACTGCTCTAAATCTACTGCTTTTGCCTGTTCTTTGTAAGCTCTTCAAAGTGGTTGATGGCGTTCATTACCTAAGTACATGACACTACAACCTTTTATTCACATCTCATAGATACTTTTCAAAATTATTTTTTGTAAATATTTATAATTTGAATGGGTGCCTTTTAGGGGCAGTTTTCCTAAAGACTTTGTCAAAAGCTTATGCTTTATTTAGCGTCGTTAAGCTGACGACTTCATTGATTATGCACTTATTGATCGATGTACCGTATTGAAACACGATGTGTCTTTCATTCCTTTCTAGGGAACTTGACTAGGCTCTATTAGTCAGTTAATTCGATCAGATAATTTTCATTCCCGTCTTTACTGACCTTAGGGCTCTGCGAACTCTAATGAGGGCTTCTAACATGGGCCCGTTCTTTTTCTCCGTTTCATTTTTTTCGAATCGTCTCTTATTGTTGCCTCAGTGTATCAGTGACAGTGGAATTCAATGCTATCGTCTCTTTAGTTCCGTATTGGTGCTGCTTGAACTGTTTACAGCTTTGTCATCAGAGAATGAACGATAAGCGAGTAAGCGTCATTAGTGTCAAAGATTGAAAATACTTCGTAGCAGCAACTTTTTTTCGTAATGCTTTTGAGATCTTTGCTATTTTTCTTGGTTACTTGGGCACTTCTTTTGTTCCAGCCCCTCAACTTCTGAAAGCTAAGGTCCTAATCCAAAAACTTGTGAAAATCGATTTTGAGGTGTCAGATCGTTGAAAGGTATTTCGTAAGGAAAGTGATGGTACTGCTCCGTAACTTTTTGTACTGCCGTTTCTTCATTTTACCTCATTAGGAGGGCAGCTCCATTTAGGAACTGATGATGCATAGAACACAGTGTTATAACTCAGTTCGGTTCGAGACAGCATGCACAATAAGGGAATTTTAAATGCTCGGAGAGTTCGGTAAAGTGTTAGACGCGTATTGATTGGGAGAATAGGAAAATCGAGAGTAGAAAAATCGCAGAAACGTAATCCTGTCATTTCCTGGTTTCCTTGGCACTTCTCGATAATTTCTTTCAGATTTTTCATTTCTTTCAAGCGGTCGCAGACAAAGTATACATCCTCAGAGAAGCCATACGTCGCTTTCGTTTTATTTGATTCAAACTCGTAACCATCGGTTGGGGAATGATGAATGGTTGACCTTTACGTTGAACGAGCCCAGCAGCAAAAGCAAACGAGCAACGATTTCGGGGAAATGAGAAGTGTTAGACGACTCTGAAGAGTAACTTATAAAGTCGATTTTCATTTCCTGTTTAATTCAAAAAAAGAAACCGCTCAATTTGTTGTTGAACTGTTCTCTCAAGAATATGACATTATGTAGATTCATCCAAAATCATCAAACTCTTTCGTCAAAATTTCGTTGTACTGCTTGCAAATGCAAATTGCTTGCCTATTGAGACTACGGCCAAGAGGTTAAGCGATGTAGAGCTTTTAACTCAGACAGTTTAGTGATGTTCTTATTCGGGAATGTCTCACTTGCGTGACAATCCTATCTCTGGATCGATATCTCCAATTAGTTGTATATTTTATTTTCACTCCAACTACATGATGAGGCAAGAATGTATCTGATTTCTTGGTCGTAATCACATCGACTGCTGTACATGTGCATGAGCTGTAGTTTTATTTTACTTCATAATTACTTAGTGGCATTTGATAATTGTGAAGTGAGAGTGGGAGGGCAGTAAATGATGCAGCTAGCTTCACCTATGCATCTTTGGATGAAACCCTTTTAAGCTTACTGAACCTGTCTGGATTTGGTTGGTAGAATGAAATTCTGACAGTTTCTTGGGGAGCCTTTGAAGGTCAACGTATAGGTGAAGTGAGCGTTGAATGTTGCCAGGGATTTCTATGGAATTTGAAGGCTTTTGATTTCAAAAAGTGAGAGAATATGAGCAGCCGCTATCGATCCCCGCTAAAAAATGAACTTCCCACCAACGGTGAATTGAATAATGAATAAGCATAATTAGAATTGATTTCATTTTAAAGAACTACGGAATCGATAAGAAAGCCCGCTCTGCATGGAGATGCCTCAGAGTTCCCAACTATTCAGTTTTATGAATATGCGGGTATTCTTTACTTTCGTTTGGTAACGTCGTTCCTATGGAGTCTTGCTGCAGAATCTTTAGGAATATTCGGGTAATCTTTAATCATAATATGCTTGGAAGGTTTGTCGAACCAATTGTCGTGAGTCGAATAAGGTTATGATCGTTTTAGTCCTGGATTGCTAGTCTGTTTGTTGTTTTTCATTTGAAAGCGCTGTTCTTGCTGACTTCTTCAGGAAGTTGCAAATGTGCATATCTCTATGTATCAAGTCATAGGGATAATTGTTGTCATCACTCTTGTCGTGGTCATTATTTGTGTGTACAGCAGACATTGATCTTTTATAATGATAGTTTTGTCTCTAAAATCTTTTCTCACAGATCAAATCATTCTTAGATGTTGGCTTTCTCCTGAAACGCTTTGCTAGCATTAAACTCTGTGGTTCCGATCATTCAGCGAAATATGGATTCTTTCTCGTCAGCGTTTCCTATTGCATTCACTGAAACAGTCTATCAAAAAGCCCGGTTATAGGGCAGATCTATATCTATGACGTTATCACAGCAGAGAAAGCTTATCGTTTACGCCTCACCACTTCTTGAACTTTTCTCATTCTCTTAGCCGCTACGGGTTTCTTTATGAGATTGTCAAAAATCTTACGTCATTCCCTTCAAATAGCTTAATGAATATAAGTGCTTGAATATTTCTTTCTTTCTTTACAGCTAATTACCTAATAGCATGCATCCTCGCTCGGCTTAGGGTTATTAGTAGCTTGTCACACTTGTTCTCCAACGACAACGACCCGCAAGAGCCGGAATCCATTACGACTTCTCAAATAATTGAGATTGATTGCTGTCAGTTAGTTACTACGGCTCTTCTGAACAAGTTTAGAGAGGTAATGACCATGTTTGGAAGGGATCAGACAGAAAAAAAGGAGGAGAGGGGAAATTTGAGACACGAGTGTATGCAATATGATTGTTGTGACAACCTGTCATTCCCCTAGCTTTCACTAGCTCTTCAACTGTTGACATCGTTATTGACTTGCTTCTAGGATTGGGAATGAAAATGCTAGCTTTTTGGGTGAAAAATGAAAAATCATCTTATGAAGAATAATGGCACATACTTACTTCCTTGCAGCGTGAACATCCTTTTTTTTNTTTTTTTTGGATTTTGCAAACATGTCTTGGGTTCATGTAATTAGCACGTCTTGCAAACGTAACAAGCTTCTTGGAGGCAGGACTTTTTTTCGTGTACGTTTCTTATGACTAAGAAAATACCGTAACCAAGAAAAGACGATTATAAGCTTAACACATATGGAGTGCACCATTTTCTCTTGTTGGGCGTGATTAAAATTCTTGCAAGACGTGCATGCTATGCTAAGAATGCTCGCTTTTTCAGACGGAGAATAGTAAAGTAGAATTATGGCGTTCAAACTATTTGAAATACTGCATAACGAAAGTGGTTTAGTCTGTGCATGAGCCATGATTGCCGTTTTGATGGATGTCATTTGCAGAAATGCATAATTCCGATTGATTTTTGTAGGGATTAGTCTAAATTCGATGGGCGTTCATTGCTGAATAATTTGATGCCGTTTTTCACATTCGAATGCATTATTTCGTTCATATGTCTCGATGATAGCTGGGCAGTTTTGTTGTCTTTCCTTTTCCTTATCTACTTTGAATTCAGTTTTTCATTTACATTTTCGAATTATATTCAAATTTTTTTNNNNTTTTTTTAAACTATTATGTTTGAACGCGATTAAATATGAATCATTTTCTTGTTGAATTTCTTCATCACATAGGTTTCTTTATCGTCTTGAATGGCTTCAGTTGAAGTTCGTAGTTGGTCGTGATCAGTAGACGTTTACTGATTTTGGGGTAGTTTCTAATAGTCCACGTCATCAGAGGAACATGTCGGAATGCAGCCTTCTATATTTATCATTTCCTTGGCTTAGTTCCTAACTAATCCGATCACTCTTATCCTCCCATCCTTTTCATTTTGTAGCAGCTGAGTCTGTTAATGTTTTGAGGATTTGGTGCACAAATTCGACTTGAAAGCGAATAACAGGAAGGATCATGAGCTATTGCGTCACTGAGTGGCGACAGATTGGAGTTAATTTCTTTTGTGCAAATTTAGTTTCGACAGAAGAAGAGGGTGCCAGAAATGCTGCTCCCTTTCTTCACTCGGTTAAGTTTCGTTTTTCAGGCTATCCAAATAGATCGCAGTCAGATTGAGCGCATGGTCGGCGATCTTGAGAAAGCCCCACCGCCTCCAGTCGATGCTCCACCGGCTCCTCAGCTGCCGTACTGGTAGGAAATGTGTTACTGATACTGCTGATACTGCTTTTGTTGTTATGGATTTCCATCGCTTACCATGATTTGTGATATCTTGTTGTTGCATTTGAAAATGGAATATCTTGAAAGATATGTAGGTAAGGTTCAGGTTCACCACTGAGTGCCGCAACAACTTGGTGAATTGTGACGTACCAGCGATGTCGGTTCCCAGTGCACCGTCGCCGATTCCGCCGCCTCTTCCGATGCCGGACCTCAAACAACAACTCAAGGCGCAGCTTGAATACTACTTCTCAAGGTGAAAATGTTATCGAGCACTTGTACAGTAGAAATTTTCACCTAATCCATCAAATCGTTGTTCCTTCATGCATCAATGGGCACGTTGTTGCTCACTCAAGTCGCTAGTGAAGCCTGACGCTCGTTTTCATTTAATTTTGGCGCTTTCTCTCTCTCTCTCGTTAGTGAGCGGACTTGCTGAGCAAAAGGCTCACATGTCGATAATGAAAGCCCATAGTGGCCGCAGGCTATGCGTGGTTGTTTTCTTCATTTCCTCTCTATGTTCGGAGGAGGACCAACCAGCATGAGTGGTATTGGTTTTAAATTAGAAAGGGAAGCAGCTGTAATTACATGAGATCTACACTAGGCTTCGTGGGTTGATTCGTCATTCGAGTGTTTTGAAAACTCGCTTTGCATTGTTTGGTTCAGGACAAAGTAATTTTCAAGGTCTGAAGGGGTGCAACCGAGGAATAGGTCACTTTTGTTAGCACCTGTAGTTGATTCGACTTTTCGGTTGCGGCCGAACGGCCGAATGAGCATATTCATATTCCCTCGGGATGCATTAATTGGGTGCCATGCTCGTCAGTCAGAATAGAATTGTTGGTCAGAACATTGTTCAAAAACAACGCTTGTTTAGGCGGCGTACCGACGTACGTGTTTGGAAACTTTCGTGGGTTTGATTCGAAATGACATCGGAAATAAAAAACGTCATTTTATTTGTTATCGCCGCATTTAGGAGTAGACTGGTAACCCTTGGTTCACATCAAAGGTGTAATCAGTTGGGTTTTACTGCGAAGAAAATGCGGCAATTCTGATAAGCCCCTTGTGCAAATTTGAATTCCCCACTCAAGTGAGTAGGGACACTTAATTTAGTTCTAGGTCGCTGAAAAAAACTGGTTTTTTGACTTTTATTCTCAAAATCCATTTACTTATGAGGAAAAAGGCCGGAACATGTTTGTGGCATACAACGCTGTGTATCCGGTGGACGCTTATTTACATAAAGGCTTTAGTTGTTGTGAAAAGAGATGTTTTGTCAATAGGATGTGGGTGCTATTCTCAAAGAAATGAGTATTCCAGGGAAAATCTAATTACTGATCGATATTTACGATGTCAAATGGACGCTGACCAATTTGTTCCAATTTCCATTATTGCCGGTTTTCGGAAGATTGTACAACTCACGAGTGATTATAATCTCATTTTGCAAGTATTACGAGGTGAGACTCATCATTTCTTTTTCTGCATGTTTACTTTACAAAAGTTATCTATGTAGCGCAGACCGTTTGGGATGGTTCCAACAGACCATTGAGGGTTCTACTCGATAAAAAGTGTCTCAAAAGGGGTTTGCGCTCAGTTAATTCTCGAAGTAGCTGCCATAAAGCCATTTAACTTCGCTGAAACAAAGATAGGTTAGTTATTATGCGATGGGTGATGTGAATGTGTGTGAATTTTCCATCATCACCTCACTTCCAGTTCGCCGATATCAGTGACATAACGTGTCAGGAGCTACGGTGATGTCACAAGGATCGCGAGGGTGGAGTAAAAGAGTTTGTGAGAGTGTGGACGCTATCCATTTCAGGTTATTTGGGTGGCTGCCAATCTGAGCAATACCCTGCTGGCACCCTCTTTTCTCGAGGAAAAGCAGCTGTATTACTTCTGCCCAGAAACTTGAAGCTTTATCAAAATACTGGAGAAGAGAGTGTATCAACAGCGGGGCGCACTAGTCACAGTGATTCTTTATTGAATTGGTTGGAACTAGTTCTCTACTTTTTCGTAGTTTTACAATTTTGTGGAGTAAGAATAGGTCGGACCGAGACGTAGGAAGAGATCAGGAAAGAAAAATTAGTGATGGCAGCAGTTTGCCGTCGTCCAATCGTCACTCATAGCATACTGTAGCTTGATTAATGTACACCTTGAGGCGCGTTAAACGTTCTCCATTTGAATGTCCATGCTCTTTTCTTCCGTCGATTTGCTGCACGTGATTTAATGTCTCTTGCATACAGAATCGAATCAAGTGGAAGTGGATGAACGTGGCGAAAAGGTTCGTTCTGTATGCCGACGATGTACTATCATATTGAGGGAGATCAGCGAAGAACATAGAGAGGTTTGGTTCACATTTACACCTGACTTATCAGAAAACTTATTTGAGCAATCTACATTAAGGAAGTCGAAAAAATGCTCTCTGGTGGTCCACCATACGTTGATCTTAAATACGGCCTTAATAATAGCTGGTACGTGACGTTCGATAATGAAGAGACCACACAGCAAGCATATCTTCATCTTCAAAATATGAACATCACATTTAACAATAAGCCAATATGTGTGAGTATTTCGACTTCTTTCTTCTGCTGAATTCTCTCCTTTTTCAATTTGGCACTGGGCAAATTTAGGCCCGCATAAAAGCGGGTGGACCACCGAGCGATCTCCCACCAATCGACAGGATGCCTACGCAGGTATTTGTTTATACTTCCTTATATGTTTTATTGATTTGTTATTTCTTATATTAAGCGGTTATTTTTCGTGAGTTTTTCAAACACTTCATTTTGACATTCTTTTCCAATTCCCGATGACACTCTCTTGAACAGTTTGGACCCTTCCGGAAGCAAACCACCCCCCTAAGGAAGTTACGAAGTTCTAACCCGGACATTTTTCGTCTACCCAGTGAGTTAGAAGGTCAGCGAAGGAGTTTATGTGGAACCCAGACAATGGCAAAAGTTCCGACCACGGCAGGATTCGAACCTGCAATCTTCTGCTCCGTAGGCAGACGCGTTATCCATTGCGCCACGCGGCCACGACTCCGGTCGCATGCAGCATTACTTGTCAAAATGCTATGCGTTGTTTACTCTGCCATGCACGTGTTTTCATGCGGTCAATCATCGAGAGAGATGGTTAACATTGCAGTAATTCCCTTTGAAATTGGTATTTAATTGTTAATTCAACGTCTTTTTCGGCCAGAGGAGTTTTCTAGGGTATTCCATATCACAAATATTCCCGTTTCTTTTTTTAAATCTCTCCTTTCCAGATGCCAGAGCCGATAGCTGCAGAACCACAATTGTACACTCCACTTTACGAATTGGGACAGCTTCTCGCCAGTTATGGCTATGTGCCAAGAGCAACGTTCCGGCCGGGTGCCACCGTTGTTCATGTTCAGGATGAAGCTCGGCAACGGATAAATAGGCATGGTCAAGCTTCACATCAAAGGAATCAGCATGCGCGCTGTAAGACTTATTGTTCTTTCATCTTCAGTGGTTCATTTTCATTTTTTGTGGGATATACGTCGGAACCTTTTAAGCAGCCCGAACGTATGCCTCTGGAGCGAATGGCTATGCAATGCATTCGAATGGAGCGATTCCATCACATTCAACCGCCGTAATCAATGGAACTATTCCATCAACATCCCATTACGGTGGAATGGAACGACGACATTATCGCGAACAAACGTCGCAACGGGGTGGTCGCGGATCAGCTGGTGGTGGTGGCCCTCGTCGTGGCACTGGAGAGCGGACTTATCATCAAGGTATGTTTGCTAAAGTGGCGTTCAAAGGAGTTCTATATCCATGTGTCGGACAGAACTGTTGTGATTTGTTGCTACAGTGAGACAAAAAGTTCAGAGGTTTCTCTTCCGGTTGATGAGTCAAAGTAAGTAATATAGTTGACTGTGGACCCATAAGAGCCATGGAAGTGGAGTTATTCGCTAGCTATGTAGCGAATTAGCAATTTCCACTCATATTATTCTAATTGTCATCATATATTAACTCGTGATGGTAATAATGTGCGACTTAAGGCCTGATGAATGTAGTTTTTAAGGTGGTCGTCGAAATGGTGGTGCTAACGGCTCTCATCAGGAGACTCGTCGTCGCAGCGACTATTGCAATGGAGGAGGAGGTGGTGGTGGTGGTGGTGGAAACACGAACAATGGACCTCCACTGAGTGTCTCTACGGGGAATATTGCAGCTGCAGCTGCTGGTACATCGAATACGTTGCAAATTGAGAGGTTCGTTTTTCTTCGCTCCCTAGTTTTTGAATGAGGTCGCGTTCGAGAACACGGATGCATTACGTAAAACTTTAGGATCCTGCTTTTTGTTTGATTAGTGCACCCACATTGTAGCCTAATTATGCGCGTGTTGCTTTAGGCCACGGTATAATAGTTTCCGCCGAGAACGGAATGCCGACAGCGATCACTTCTCTACAAATGACACTTCAAATACATCTTCAGGCAAAGGGCGCAGGTGGGAGATGGATAGTGAAAATGGCAGTGATGGACATGCGGATAGAAAGGTGTGACAAACAATTTATACAGTAATTTTTCTTTCTTCAGTTTCCATCTCAATCTTTACCAAAAAATTACTATAAACTTTTATTTTCGTTGATAGTGCTTTAATTTGGTATTGTCAGAACGAAAAAAAAANAAAAAAAAAAGTTCCAGGCATCATCACAAAGTGGTTGTTCCGCTTACTCCTTTGAAGAGAGAGCATTTCCATCGTTATCAGAACCAAAGCCTGAGCCTGAGAAGCCGGTAGAGAAGCCGTCGTTCAGGTGCACGTTAAATTTGATTGCATTTGCATATGCATTTTGCAGACATACCTTTATCAAATCTAGTTGAGTATCTCGAAGCTATTATACAGGATGAGGGGGATGCGACGGAAAATGATTAAGATTACATCCGACCCACGTCGCCCTCTATGAAATACAGAGCGATTTTTATGTGATAATTTCCAATCTTGCTAGTAAGATGAAAGCTCTCAGTAGATCTTTATTGTATTAAAATAGGGAAAGAGAATGCGAACTGCAAGTCTGCGACTCTTCAGCAGTATGCTTCACAATAGCTTTCAAAGTGTCTGAATTATTTCACGCTGATAGTTAATGAAATTCTGACAGGAGTGCTGGCCTCTGTCATCTTGAATAGCACCCAGCTTTGTGGAATCACGAATCTACTATCGGGTATTAGATACATACCAATATCCTGATTTTGTCTTCTTGTAGCCAGTACCAGTTACATCGAGGTGAAATCGTGACAGTATGGTGAATTCAGAGATTATTTCATTTTTTTAAATTGACTTCTATTCTAGTTGCGTAGCCGCAGGGAAACGATATGCGAAACCGGAGCCGAGGAAGAGTTATGCGGAAAAGTTGAAAGAAAAGACAGCGAAAGCCTAGTTGGTCATTATTTTGGTTATATTTATGTTCTGTCCAAATAGTTGCAGTTATATCTAGTAGTGATTTGGGAGGATGGTTTTGGGGAAGCGGTCGCATATTTATATTCGGAACGGTTATCTACAGGCTGTGTGCTTACTTGTTTGTTTACTTTTTCTTGTGTCAATATCTGTACACGTATGTTCTTCGATGTGGCTATAACTTCTAACGCGCTTTGTCATTAGATTTCTTTGTCGGTTGTCTTCTTGCCCTTTCTTACGTGTCTCTAATCGGTCGAGTGTACACATCCACGACAGTATTCTTATTTACTATCATTATTATCGTTACTATTACCTTTCTTACTTGCCAAATTTCGAGTTGAAATTCGCGGTCGTGGGCGCGTGCGTGCACACATTGCTTGTCATTAGCCAAATTACTACATGTCATTTTTTTTCGAACATTTACGCATATATCGGGATATCATTGTTGAGTTGCATGCATCTGGTATGCCGAGAAAGAGAAGAGAATTTCTTGGTTTTCTATTTTATAACATTAATTAATAGGAGATTCATTGTGAATAACAATACTTTTCTTCATAGAAGTAAGGTAAGGTAATTGTTATAGACATTCTTCCGGTTAGTGATCATATCACTCTAGTCATCCATTCTGTGCTTTATTCATCTGTGAATATCAGTATGCGTCAAAAGACCGCAACAGTTTCAGAGCGTTGATTTTTCCATTTCTGTCTACTTTTTTATACTTTGTTCTGTTCAGCGTACAAATCGATACCTATCCACTTCGTTACTTCTGTTTTTTCTCTTATCGAAATTCAAAACGGTTGATTGTGATTCTAAGGAAGATGTCTGGTGAAATTTCTATTGAATTAAGGCGTACTGTAGTGTGCTATTGCATATTATATGAGTTTCATTCGAATAAGGCATATCAGACTAGGTGAAGGACATTAGTCGCGTTGAAGAACGATACTATCATCATTGTCTTCCCCAGTTGTTTGTCTGTAGGTGGTGATAACTAGAGGAAAGATTTGCGATTGTGAGTTACTCGTCCGTAGATATTGAAGTATAGTAGAGAACTGTTCTCTTACACTTTCTTCTAGATGTCCGTCCTAGACGCATGTGATCACCGTCACTCATTATCATCATCAACCTATCGCCTAGTCTTACAGAAATTCTTTATCTATCTACCGGTATCAACACTTCTGTCTGTTAATTTTATGTCTGTCTTGGATTGTACTACTGTTCGAATGAAAATTTCTATACAAAATCGTTTTTATCTAACCTCATGGTACCACATACGACATATTACTCGTTGTAACTTGAAGTGTAGTTCACCCCAAAGGGTTGTGAGCAGTAGGTGCGTATCAGTCTTGTGGTACAGGGCAACACTCTTATGAGGTCATATGATTTCTTGAGTTAGATGTTCCGTAAAAACGACAAGTTCGAGAAATGCATGGGACATGGGAGCTTTATGCTGTAATGCCTTGTGCTAAAAAAATTAGCTAAGAATCGCTGCGCACTCAGAGCTACTATTACAAGTTTCAGTAACGCTGTAAACATGGTTTTGCACTGACCTGGAAACGAACACAAAAAGTTGCAGCCAAAAACAAAAAGGCAAAAAAGTGGTAGGGTTTGGGTTATGAAACACAGCGGCTGTGCACAACCCTCAGTCATTTTCCCTTTCAACTCGTTCTTGTTCTGCAACGCAGATGTTATAGTGACTTTAGGAACAAAATGTTACTGACAAGTGGAACCTTACATTTTTGTTGTAGTTGTGAGTCGGTAATTTTGCCAATCATAATGTTTCGAGTCTGTGCTTTCTTAAGCGTACAGACGTAACACCGTGAAAAATATTTTCTATTGTCAGTCTCGGGAAGAGGTGAAGCATCGCTAAACGGTGCTACTAACATACCTGGCAATGGTAAGAGGATCATTGCCAGGTGAATACTGGATCGTTACCCAATTCAACCTTAAAGCCAGGCCACGAGAAACCTCATAAAAAGACTTCCATTTCACCCTGTGTTGCGGCAGCACAAATCGTATTTAATGAACTTCGGCAGACGAAGTGGAAAGCCTCTCAAAATGCAGCTGAACACATTTCAATTTCCACATATTCTTGCAGGGCGTTGATGGTGTAGTGGCAAATGTCGCACTATCACACAAACATGGCCCGGGGATCAAATCTAGCCGAGGTCAGCCGAGCTTCTAAAGCCTGCGGAGTCGGCTTATTAGCTCCAGACTTGTCTGCAAGGATAGAAGCACTGACTTGTTCATCGGCTGGTCCCCGCAAGTCATTGTACATATAGGCCATATGCGGATCAAATGCGAAACTATGTACCATTTTGAAGGGGTCAAATGCGTGGGCGTCCCAGAAACGGGACTGATTGGAGCTAAAGATTCCGTTTACCCTTATTCTTTATAATTTCGCAGCTTCAGCCAACAGTACCGTTTACCTGGTCAAACTCAAAGCTTTAGTTTCAAGTGATATTTAGGAACTTTCTAAAAGTTCAAACAAGCACCTACTTAATGGCCCAAACAGTCTAACTCTTCAGGGAAGTACATATTATGGGATGGTTTTCGGCGTGCCTAGTTCGAATATGCACTTTGCAGCAATCTTTGCAACGCGAAAAGCGCCTTGTATGAGCTTAAGATCATCCCCTCCTGTGTCAATCTTCAGCGCTTTGGATCCGATTATCCCACTATCCCATGGATCATTCTGCTCATGAAGCTATTCGTGGAAATACTTGTAAGACTGATGTTTAGCTCACTGACATTCTACGAAAATTCCAAAGTGAATCGATCTTTACCACAAGTTTTGTGCTGAAATGATAAGGGAGACCACCTCGGACACCTTACTGGTGCTTTTCTGGCTCCGGACTCTTATCTCTTTCACAAGCTACACGCTCCTGAACTCAGAGTATATGACATCCTGTAAACTTGAAGGCCTTGGTGCCTACATCATGAGCGCCGGCCTTAAAGCACATTGGGTCATCAAACCCAGTGAAAACTAGCTCCCGGGGGTAGTTAAATCCGCTGGACAGGAATATCTCCTCTGATCGAAGTGAAACATCATTTTATGACTTTTGTGCGCGAGTGCTACGGATGTTACATTCGTATAAAGCTAACGAATCAACTGGGGAGAGAGGAGTTCGGCCGTAGATGTGTTCTGGCGTGAGCGCCTATGGGAGGGCACAAAGGACTTCTGGGTCCGGTGGAAGGGGTATTCGTATTCAGAGGCTCTCAAGAATTGACTTGTGTTGTCCGCCAGCCTGACCGAATCTCCATTTCTGAGGGAGGATTACCTAAGGACTTCAAATCAAGAAGTTTCGATATAGAGAACCATTCCAGTGGGAAACGATAGAATATCCACATCTTGATTCCCGGTTATTGGGAGCCTAGATGAATGGAATGGCTCGGGAATCTAATCCTGTATAGAATTATGGTACCTTGAAAGATTCAAGCTTGAACGATGCAGGAGGACCAGATGGAAAGGGATCTGGCTGAGAAGGGCGAGAAGGGCTCCTGAGTAAACCCGTCAATAAACGAAGTGCTGACTCTTGTGGATTTTGGTTAGACCGGAGAACATCTCTGGGAATTCTTGCCAAAACAACTAACTTTGGTGGTACTTCACAAAGTATTCTAACTCGTACTGATTTGTCATTCCCAAAGTGGCCCTTCAACGGATCAAAATCACAGCAAGATTGATCAGCCCGGGTGATCAGGAGATCGATTAAGAACAACGTTACGACTGCCACTGCCTCTGTCGAACATTCACCAACGTTGGCATCATCCGCAGCAAGTCAGTGCTTCAGCTTCAACAGTTCTGCAAATTTTCCATGAAGACCTGTATGTGTACAAGGCTCAACTGGCGGAGGGATGAAGTCGTATCTTTCACAGCTTCCTTGAAGACGTACAGCCACCACTTTTTGCAAGTTCATGTTCGTTAAAATGTTTATGCATGGAATCGAAAACTGCTGAAAGGATAGGTAGGCTGTCCGTTTTGTGGTCATTGGTAGTGTTGCTGTAGGAAATCTTTGTTCTTTGAAGATCCTTTCAATTATAATCTTTTATGGCGTTACTTTGTAGACGAAGAATTTCCAAAGGCCCGTCTTGAAGCACCTCGTATATGCGCTGTAGCTAAATGGTATGAGTCCTGCTTCGTACTCACACCAGACGGGCGCGACGTTGTTTTGAGGCGAACTTGCCAGTCAGCTTGTCCGTTATCAGTCTGCATTCCTTTTTCCTCTTCCTCTAGCTTTTTTCCTCTTGATTCCTCTAGCTCGGGTACGATTCGGTTAGGGGTGAGCTTAAAGCAACAGAGCTGGCACTGCCGGGATCGGACGTAGTGTGGCTCGCGCTTATCGTTATCGATTTCTGATCGAATCACAACAGCAGGGCGATCAGCCTTTGCCGTTCTTCGCTGTGTACCTCTCAGTGCTGGTAAATCAACGCATAAGAGGTGGGCTCATGAAATCGAAACAATTGGGAAATGAAGGGAGCCGGTAAAGGGGGTTACACCCTACCTGAGAAGCATACATTCCGTCCTGACCAAAACTGGCTCTTTGCTCTTTCGAGAATAAAGGAATCTGTTTCCGGGAAATAGTGGGTACGGTCAGGGCCGTAAGCAAGTTTCGTTCTAAGTTCTCCCTTCACGTTAAGGCACTCGGTGAGGAGTCGCTTGCTAGAATGTTCGACGCGTGTATCACTGTTGATAATCATAGACAGTTTCTTCTGTGGTTATAGTCGATTCCGCCACAGAACAGCCATCATTCGCTCCTCAACTTGACATAAACGAATAATTTCACAGGAAATCGGCAATGCTTCCGCATAACGTCATATAACGAAAAATTCATGAGTCCCACTGCTCGGAGCCATTGTTCACCACGCCGGATGCGATGTACTATCACGCAGTAGCCAGCCACTGAATTTTATAGAAATTCTCGGAATGCGCCATGCGAACGTGCTAAGCCCTCTTTCATCAGTTCGATTGGAAGGTTTCATGTTGTTCAAGTAGATAGAGCCTGTAAATTACTATGGCGCATTGATCAATGCGCATTCAAAGTGAGTCTGAGGCTAGACGAGTTGTGGCTATGATTTGAAGCACTGTGAAGACTTTTTTGTCAGTAAGATCAGCGCTATAAAGTTCTAACAGTACATGGCATATAGCTCTAAAAATGAGAGCGTGGCCCAAGGTGTTTCTACGAGCCCGCAGATTCGAGATCCCTTCCATATCGGTATAATCGCCTGGTTTGTATCCGTAACTTTCCTATATCTAGTTCTCACGCAAAATACTAAGGCACGTACTAAATAGTTGCCATTGGCTTGATCAGAAGTATTAAAGGTGAAAAGAAGCTTCACCTTTAGATCCTTGAACTGATCTCCTTCTTCAATTCATGGACTCATTCTGCCCCGTGACTGACTGTTTACCGTCAATATAAACAAGTTTGCATTCAATATTTATTATTTGCAAATGATAAGAGCACATTTATGACCACAATTTGGTCTATGAATATGAAAAACAATGTGGTCCTAGAGGACATATGTACACTCAAGGAAACAATAAGAGAAAAAGTTACCACATAGACATTCTTACAGTGCGCGTATCGTTATTGCACATACGCGACTTACTCGGTAACAGCGATGTTATCGCCAGTGGAAATGAAGGGAGACTGACGAAAAATATCATCAAATAAAGTGAGCCTTAACTGTGCTTCTGTACGGGTGATGAGGTTCGGGTTAACTGACAATTCAACGAGACACAAAATCTCTGAAGGAGCACCTGTGCTGGCTAAGGGGACACGCACAAGGGGGCAACTATGTTCTATCCTACTATACCACTAAACATTACATGTATAATTAAACACCAAAATCATCCATAATTCCACATATAGATAAACGACAAACGGTAAAATACGAAAAAAGATAACAATGAGATGCTTTCGAAGCGACTGAGTGAAAGAAGGGCTGTGTATTTGGTGACCCTGTAAGGATGGGGAGGGATGCGAGACGAGGGCTCTGAATGGGGAATGGGGTAGTTACGGAGAGAACCGTGACGAATTCATAAATGGACCACGTTTACAAAATGTCTACGGAATTCAGTGAAATCGGCCAAATTCCAACTGACAATACACTAACAGAGATAGGTGGGAGAACAACAGCTAGTACCCGATCGACCGCGCGTATGCTGAGCGAGAGAGAGACACACGAAAAGAGACTGTGACCATGGAGCAGCGAGCCAACCTGCCAGTCGTCGTTTGCAACGACGACGACGACGACGTCGCTGCTCTCCTGGCTATACAGTAACAAGCACAAAACAAATGGAAATATTCCAAATATACCGTAAAGTGGCAGTAACTAAAAAATGAGTAGACAGACGACTAAAACCCGATTAATAAAAGTACAATACAATCACCTCTCTCAAAATAGAATGCATGTGAAAGCAGTCTTCGCTTTGGAAGAATGGCGGTGGTGAGAGAACACATGATCTGTCGGCATGATACCATTCAGAATGCTGCCAACTCGTTGTCTCGAGTGATCGCTTGTTGTTGCATTGCCGCCTCTTGAATGTCCATATCGACCAGTGTTCGATCTTCTTCATCCACTTCTGATTCAGAATCCGAAGCATCGTGATCGACAACACCGCCAAGAGGTGACGGGCCCAGAGACGACGTCAATGGTGAGGGTCCTGATGAAGCTAGAAATGAATTAGTGAAAATAAAAACTGAACAGAAAATAACTTTCTCGTTTGGTGACGAATTTGTGTATGGGAAAGAGTCATTGTGCCCCCCCCCCAATCCAGCTGCTCATACAATTTCAACGATGCTTAAAGAAGCCCCACGACCTATCGTGAAGTTCCATCATTTCCCAAATTTTCTACAGCTCCTACCACCATCTGGCTGGAGTTGGAATAAGGTTTTCCCTCCCCCGTCTGAGGGCACTGCAGAGCTTCTGATAGGACATGGCCCATACCCTGTGACTATTTGGTGTTGGATGGACGTCCACACCTCCAGGACCGGGTCAACATCGTCAAACGCTACAGTCTAAAACTGAACTCGACCAAAGTCACAGTTCGAACCCTGTTTTCCTGCTGTGCGAGCCTCTTTCCAATCTGCATCTCTCTATCCCTACCTATCCGCCGCACAACGGACGACGATGGCAACAATTAAGTAGCTCGTGTCCTTCAAACAGACCTCACCCCTTTTAAAACCCTACCGAATTCTTCTTTCCAGGTACCTCTGACAATTAAAGTAGTACCTATGGCTCCTGACAGACGTCTCTAAACCCCTTCAGATCCAGAATTTCCTCAGATCACCGAACTATTATGAAATGACGGGGCAAGTGGATAGGGCTTAAACTCAAACAAAACTCACTTCGATCACCATGCTCCTCTGATAGTACATCTGTCGGATCATACGTCGAGTACATGCATTTCTTCTTTCGTTTGCAGAACTTACACCACTGATCGGTATTTGCGATTCCAAATCGTGCACGACATTTTTTCATGTCGGATACATCTGAATCGAACGAACGTCTCGATATGTCATCAAAAATACGTCACAATGTGTATTTCATCGTTTCTTATAAGACTTATCGCAAACGCGCTACAAATTCGATTCATTCAAGTCTCACCCACAAATCGCTTCGCAATAACCAGAATGCGCACATTTTTTTCTATAGTAAACTTTAAACGATAAAGTAGCCGGATAAAATCGGATCTATAACCACGCTTCTAGTCATCACCATATTGGAACCCAATAAATCATTTCTCGATGATTGCCCATCAACACCGCGCGACTACCGGCCAAAGCAAAAACTCGTTCTAAATCGAAATAATTTCTTTTGAATCGCCTGCATCACACATTCCTCACCTGGACAAAGCTACTCGGGGTAGGAAAAACCTTGCTCTCCACTCCGAGCAGTATATTGAGGCCCGGGTTAACCACGCTCGAGGGCTTACAGCTTGGTTAGGGAATTCTTTAAGAGAATTTCAAAACTACTGAATCCATAGAAGCCCCAAGGTAATCTAGGATCACATAGGAATCCAATTTCTAGAGGATTCACTGGTGCAAACAGCCACCATCAATCATTACCTACACTGCTGTACTGTACTTATACATATACTGTTGATGCGAACTAGCGTAAAATGCTTTCCCACATTTTATCGACAGCTTCGATACAGCTCACGTTGAGTGAATCACCTGATTATCGCTGAATACCGGAATTACCGTAGCTCATCCCAATGTTTATTTAGCTCGCCGGGAACTCTCAGGTATACTGTACGGTGCTAATGACATCTTCGCGACAAAGCATACAAAACAGCCACTCAACAAAGGAGAACTCAAGGAGCGCGAGCGCGATCGGCTTGTTAGCTGGATGAACGAGCTCTGCTTACAGTGAATATTATCCGCTATCACTCATTAGCCCGCTGGAACGCTGACTAAAAAAACGGCAAATGATGGAATTCAGAAAGACGTCAGGGAAAAAACACTGATGAACGAATCAGCAAGGGAAGAATGAAGCAAAATGCTCGCAAAAAAACACTTCAAAATGTTCCGGAACTCGTTAAGCGACTTTCCACAACGCTTTTCAGCGCTTTCAAAAAATCGAATCGCCAAACGTACCCTCGCTCTTATCACGCCTCTTCTTCTTTCGCTTATGAACCGCGTAGTTTTCGCGTGCCGACCAACCCGGATATTTCGCCTTGTGCTGTTCTCGATCGGCACGAGCCATATCAAAGTACCTAAAACAGATTATGAATACACGGGCATCAATCACTTCAATATTTACACAGAGGGGCTAGAAACTCAGCAGTACAAGAGCAGTATTCAATAAAGATCATACTGCTTCAAATTCCAAGTTCAAGGACAGTGTGGGATGAACATAAAGTAAACAGGATCTTACTTTTGTTGCTCTTCCTTAGGCAGATCATGCCATCGTTTGCCGAGTTCTTTATTCAATTCAGCACTTTGCTTCTCCTTATAACCGAGTTCCTCCATAAGCTTCGGCCGATTTTCCTTCATAAACCACATGAACGCATTTAACGGCTTCTTGATGTGATCTTCCTGAAATGGTCATTTTTACGAAAGAATGGCGGGGAGGGAATCTTGCATTTGGCCATGAATGTAAGAACCTGCTTCACCTTCTTCACTTTCCCATCTCGTGTTCTCCGCAAGCCGTCATGCGACATGCTATTGGCCATTGATGTGATCGGTGAGCCAACGAATGGTAACCGCATTTGGTTCATCTAAAAAAGAACATTAAGTGAGTCATTTGGGGAAAAAAGAAAGCAAAATAAAATATTCTGATATGATTTGTGAAAACAATCTCTCACTTGATTTAAGGGATTGGAAGATCGCATGCTTGCGGCCAGAGGGACATCCATCTTCATGCCAGCAGCTGCCATACTTCCATACAAGGGACTGCATGGACCGTTCATCATCATCATTTGACGATACACTTCGACGTTATGTGGACTTAACGCCGCTGGCATCACACAAGGCATGAATGATGGTGACATCGGCGCCCTCATACCCATACCGTACGGTTGCTGAAAAAATAAATTGAAATACTGATTGATTCTAAATTATGGAATGATCGCTTGGGATAGCAGTCCGTTTTCAGTTTAACCATGGGGCTAGGAACTTTCCAGGTCAGCTATGTCCATACCTTTGCATTCTATCCCAGTAAATGTATGGCCGAGAATAGCTAGATTTGAGGAAACGATTTTTTAAACTGAGCTCGATCGATGCTAACTCCTCATTCACCCAGTCGAGAAACGAGTCTTTGAAAACTTCGACAGGTAATATAAGATAATCTCAACCCTCGCCCCGTAGATAACCCATTGCTCAAGCAGATTGCTGAGCAACTAGACAGCAACACTGAGACAAAATCCATAACAGCAAGGGGACCACTGTAGTACAAAGACAACAGTGGTATGAAAGGATTGCCAGAACCGTAACTCGCCCAGACAAGCAAATCTTCCCTGACAACAAATGAAAGGTTGTTGGGAGAATTAAGATTGAACAGTTTGAGGGCTGAGGACAGTCTGAAGGCTACCGCTACGAATTTCCTTTGGAAGTTTCTAACCAATTAATCATTGGANGGAGAGGAGGGGGAGGGGGAAGGGGAGGGGGAGGGGGTCTTCAAGCATTCAACGGAGGCAAAAGTGTTGTCGTAACCCCTTACGAGGCTCGATAACCAATCATTGAGAACTGCACTGGAGACTGACTGAACTGCCCTCGAAGTCGAATTGTGCTCAGCTGAGCGATTTGAAAAGGGAATTGCACCGCAGCTATTGGCCTGGATGAATTCAGGAAAAAGATTCTGTCCACTGGCATTACCAGAAAGAACCACCAAATACTTTACAGTCCCCTGTCGAGTCTGACATGGGGTACTCAGCTAACTACTTACATATCTATAAAAGGGCAACATTAACAGCATTCTCGCAGCTTACAGTCCTATTATGCTTGGGAAAATTCCCAGACAACACATTACCATAAGAGTAGAAAAATCTGCCTCACTCTCCTTTTCTTTTCGGATCCCAGGAATGCAGTTGTGATGTTGCCAATTTCTACCACACCCCTTTTTAAGCCCTTCCAAACATTTCCAATAGAAGTGTCGCCATTAATTATCAGAACAGGTCATCTAGAAGGTTTCAACAAGAACGTTTTACAGCTTTCACTCCCGTCCACGTTAAAGATGGAAGAAAACACCATGACCAACTTTTCCCTGACTTTTCACCCGAATTTTCCCTTCAATTAAAGCCATCAATCATTCCATGTAGCAAACTTTTGCAAAGAAAATTTGTGAAAAAAGCTGAGGGAACAATTGAACTCGACCCCTACTAAAAACTAGCCCTACATGGTGTATCCACTACTGCAGTAGTAGTCCTTATTTCCCACAAGGTCACTTGATTACCCATTGATAAAACATGACCACCAAAGTTTTCTCAAAAAACAACAGGTTCCAGTCAATCAGTTCGAAGAAGTTTTCAAACGCTTTCGCAAAGATCCCCAATCATTGCTTGCATTTCTCGACAAGCTAGAACCAGGATGTTCGCAGAGATCACAAAAAAATTTTCGCCTTCAGACAGTTTGTTACCAGGTCTTTGATGGCTAATTTTTGAAGTAAAAAATTACTAGCTCTTGTTAGAACAGAAACCAGGCTCGAGGAAACCAGACGCTGCTCAAGAATTAAGGATATGGAGCTCCAAAACAGAGTAGCCTCATCATATGCCATGTTTAGAGGAGCTTTTCTTTCTTTCTTCGAAGTAATTTGAACAATTTACTTATTATTTTCATTTGTAATCATCTTTACTTGGATTTCGGCATGAGTGGAAAGTTCAAAGACGGCGACATACATCAGACCGTCAGATCACTTCAAATTTTATCATGGATGTCTTTTTATTTGAGTACTTCCACTTCTGTGTGGCTAGCCAGACCCTGTACTATCATTAAACACTCTTGTCCATCCTCAACTTGACCGTCAACATCCGGGGACAAACAAATTATATTCTTGGGCCCAATTGACCGTATCCTCTCTATGACACATGCACACGGTCTTTGTAGAAGAGAAAGACGACGACGCAATTAGAAAGCGCGCCCCGCTGAGAATCGACACCACGTGAAATGGCCGTCGTTGCCGAACGGGTCGACCGGCCGACTACCGTATCCCCAAGTTGCTTTCCGTGCCTTTCCGACGTGCGACACATTTGATTGTCTGTATGAACGCGCGCGTGTCAACGCTCACGCGACAAATTGTCGATGCAATTTGACAATTGTCGTCGAGTCGTTGAACGAAAACGGCAAGACTCTCGCCGCCACCGCGAATTGACGACATGTAATTAAAACGCCCTGGCCGGAAACGTCAAACGATGTGTCCATCGAGATCCGGGACGGGAAAACACTGAGGTGCGACAGGAATTACGTAACAAGTGTGTTGTCGGAGATAAGCCCTCCGCTGTAAGACAATGCCATTGCCGGAAGTAAAACCGCTGAATGCCCTACAAAACACGCCAATCACAGACATACAGCTGTGAAAATCGCCAAAAAATACAGCAATTAACCATGGCATTAAATGGTTGGAGTTTACTGTAGGATAATTACGGATTCGGTGAAATAAAAACACTTCTGGCAGAAAAAAGGCAGGCACTTACGCTCATGATCCATGGCATCATGAAGGGTAATCCGAAACTCGGACTATAGGCGGCGGCATTTTGGAGATTCGCTAGATTGGCGAAACTCGGTGACGGGATTGGCTTTACAAATGCACCAGTTTTCGAACCTGAAACTTTTCACCGTGATGTTCTTTCAGAAGATTCTCTAATCATGAAATTTTCTATCTAAATATTGTATAAGATTTATTATTGATTTAAAATATAATTTGAAGCTCAAATGCTTTTGGAAACATTGCGTAAAGAGCAGATGCTGAAGAAAACCTCAAACAACATCGGTCTTCCATCAATGCGACCTCATAAATCATGTAGAACGTCCAACTCATTACGTCAACTGTTGTAATAGTGGTGCAAAGTAATACTGCTCATCATTTCTTTTCACACCGACAGAAACTCGTGCTCTTCTAGCCGAACAACTGAGAACTGCACCGAGATCACTAAGGATCGGAGAAAGTCATACTCAGTCATGCACCACTTAATCGAAAACGACCCAGTTTATCCGACTGATACTGATGCAAAGCGACAACCATCGTCGCCAAGGATGAGCCATGACAATAGTCATGGTGTAACCTGGACGGCCTTGATTGCCGGTTTGCATTCCTTAAATCCTTGTAACCAGAATTCACTGCTGGAATCCCGTCCAAAAACTCTTACTCGCTTTAAATACAACCTGTACGATACTCAGCACATCTATGGAAGGGTCCACGACTGGTACGATGAGGTGTCTACTGGGACTTCGAGCATGACCGAATATAGAGCAAATATAAGCTACTGCCTTCTTTAATATCTCAGTAAGCTAAGTACAGTTCTCTTCTATCAGCACCTCTACAAACTGCTTAGGGATATGATATGACCTCTTGATGCCGATCCCAACTTCAGAACACGCATCACCCCTCAGTCAAAGGAACGGCGACGATAAAGATGACTTGGGGATTTCTTTCAACGATTTTGCGCTTTATGTCTTCACTGAGCAGCTGCATACTTCCCTCTAACGACGAAATTGCCCATAATTTATGAGAGAAAACAATTTACAAAAACCTCTTCTATCCATAAGGATTCAAATTTCCTCCAATTTGACACCCTGCCCATCCTAATAGAAGAAAGCTAGATGATTGAATGGCGGCCCCTTTTCCTTTCAACATCATGAAATTGCCATTCCATTAAAAGATATGTGCCATAGTTCGGGGCAAGCTAAACGCAAACAATATCAGATAAGAAAGTTCAGGCGTACTTTTACCGCCGAGCCGATTTATCGGACATTCATGCACATATCGGGCTTTCACCTCAAATTAATCACCACCTCACATCAATCGCTTTGATGATTTCGATTATTTGGCTGCTAATGGCTTCTCTCTAGGTGGTCGGTTCCCGCTAGGATAAGAGTCACTTACAAGCACCGCTCCGGTACTCATATCGGCAAATATGCTCCGTCGTCAATTGACAACGATACGCACACTTTCAACATAGCGCGTGTAAACATTAACTGAAGGGTCGCCGCAAACGGGCTCCCATTTAACAGTGATCCTGATGAAGCCGCAGAGTGCTTCGGTGTCAATAACGACCCAACAACCACTTCACTGTGATAGCTGAACCTATTCGACAGCGCGTTCCGAAATTAGCCGTCGTACCGAGGCCAGAACTGAAGGGTATTTTCCTGAAGGCGTCAAGACCGAAGGGTAATTTCATGAGTCAAGACCGAAGGGTACTTTCATGAGAGGTAAGGTCCCCAATATTAAAGTAGCTCAAAAACCCGCTTGTATAAAGACGAAATCTTGAGATTCGGCTACCTTTCAGTCAAGATAGGACATATATCATGCCTACATATGAACTCCAGAAGCTCTACTCTATTTGCGGTGATCATCCTTCCCACCACTGCTAAATAGGAGTACATTCTCGCTTTACCATCTTTACATTCAAAAACCTAGAAAAAACCTGAGGAAGAATCAATTTGCCCCCTTCTACACCTCTGGAAATACCAAGAAGTTCATATATTCCTACATCCCATGTAGTTTTCACTTGATTGAGGAATAAGGGACTTTCCCGAAAAAGTAGGAAGCTTCACTCACAGAAAATCACCAATGTTCCGGAGTTTTTATCAACAGCAATCAAGGCCTTTCCAAATTCTATACCTACAACGCCCTTTGAAATCGGTAACGGTAGGCGAATTGGGACGAATCGTATTTATCGCAAACGTGTTGCATCGACCCTTTAAATCATTCGCTTCACTTCCTCTACTTATCGTCGAGTGCCCGTGAAACAGCTAACTTTTAACAAAGAAATGAGAGAAAAATCATCAGTCACTAAACTCAAAGAAGAACCAAATGATAGTAAATGAAGCGGATTCTAGCTTTCTCCAACATAACTCTACTGTAGAACTAGTTTCCTAACAAATACGACTCGTATGGGTAATAACGATGTAGGTGAGGTAGCTCAGGCCCTGCGTTCCCAACTATTAGAGCCACAGGTCGTGGCTTGCACTGTCGATAGGTACCAACTCCTAACAGCTCATTCGATTCCAAGACGCAGCAGTCAGTTTCTATGAGCTGATATGGCGTGTTTGCCAAGAGAGCAGATGCCCAGGAACAGTTTTTTCGAAGATTCCTGCATAAAAGTGAGGAAGACGCTTTAAAAACGGCCATCTCAGCTAGCCACGATGCCAAGTGTTCTCAATAGCAGCCACCTGACAGGTAGGTTAGTGTCGTAATTCCGCGAAACGAGAAATTACGGTCGATAAATGCACGTTAGAAGCAGTGTATTGTCTCATTATCACACTCTATAAAACTGAAATCGATCGTCAGCGAGGATTACGACCTGTGTATGAAGGATCAAATCTCGTTATTGCATGGCAATAGCTCCAACATTATAGCCCTTTCCTCCAAGTCCCTTTTTCATCTTTCCTTGGCATTCGGTAGCTTACCTGAGAATCGGGCTTGTCTCAAAAAGATAGAGACAGCACACAGCAGCATTTACACAATAGCATGCCGGCCAAAGCGCAGCGATCATGTCTGGCCACAAGACGCGCTGGTTGCACCATAAAAGACATCCCCTAATGGGACCGTAGCCTAGCGGAGAAAAAAAAANAAAAAAAAACGCTCTATAACAGGAATAATCACATGCCAATGCCACGGTAACGCAATGCAATGAGAATATGCGAATGGCCCCACCATCGAGGTGCATATACTCTACGGGCTTTTGAATGCCGTTCTTCTTCTTTAGCATATTGAGTAGAACGCCGACAGCCCATCCACACTCAAATCAGAAACGTCCCAAGACACAGAAGCACGGTCATGGACCAATCCACAGTGAAATAGTTCTAGGAACAGCTAAACATGTGCTACAAATTCAGATGCCACCGTTACGTTGAAAACAATGCGATGATTCAGTACGCTCAATGGCGACCTCGTGCCATGTCCAAATCTCACTTTAATACTTTGACGACCGCGCTCCTAGTAATGCCGAATTCGAAACGGAGAGATAGACTAATACCATTGAAAAACAGCTCAGAACCACTCTTGCCAATCTTCGCTAAGCAAAGGTCGTAGTGAACACGATCCGAACATTGCCATCGATGGTCGAATGACCATGAACGCATTGGCTCCATTCGAAGGTGATTTACTCATCTTCTCGTTCGTTCGACGTCCTTAAACAATCCTACGTGTAATCGGCGCCGAAATCTACCGTCTTTGACTGCAATTTGAAGTTACTTGCCAACAATGCCACAATTCAGGGTGGTTGTAACAAATTCAGTGTCTCCGGGCATGATCCAGAGAAAAACTGCTTAGAGACGTCAAAGTAAAACGCTACTAGCTATATCAACTGATGGTCGAACACATGTGAGCACATATTTTCATGGGTTAAAGCATCATTCTGACGAAAAACCTGGTCATAAGGAAAGTTATGTTCAAATATTCAGAACAATTTAATCAAACATCTCGTCTCAGCAGAAGTTCTCAGTTCAGGCTCGAATGAATACTAAACCCTTTGCTAGACACTTGACAAAAAATCTAATTAGACTTGATCTTAAATTGAATACTTCAACACAAGTGTGAAGGAGACGTTTACAGCAGAGGCTTCTTTCTTGATGGGCATGCTGCACTTCAGTAATTACTTTCCTGTACTTCAATAATTTACAAGAAATTATTAAAAGCCAGAAGGCTGGGAAATCACTCTCTCATGAATTAATCCTACTGCTCTCAATTTGAGAGACAAGAAATTGCTTAATTGTTGCAACAGAGGACTTTGTAAGAAGGGTGACAGTGAGGGTTTTCCTTTTCAACTCCGATTTCTTGAATACAGCTTCGGAATGCAACCCTCTTCTCTCCTGGAAGAAAATCTAGCGGGGGAGGGGGAAATGTACCATAGCACATCTTTCCACCAAATGATGAAGTATGACCTCCAAATGAGAAGGCCGAGTAGAGTTTCTCATAGCACCCTGCGCCTATTGACTAATTAGTGATAAATCGCCTGCGACTCTTGAAAGTCTGACAATCACGCAGATAGAATCACGAATTTTTGGGATTTTCTCAAAAGTCTTTGATGTTGAAGCCGTACAGAGGCTATAGCTTCTCAGCAATACCATAAAATTTTAAGTCTTTCAATGATGAACTCAAGTCCAAAGAGGATATGAGAGCTTGAATGAACATTCCAGCGATCTCAAACTCAAAAACTCCCAAATACATCTGATATTTTCTCTTGGAAGTTCCACCAAATCTTACAGACAACTATTCAAAGCATTCAAATCAATGAGCGTTGGAAGTCGCGAGATCTTCAATTCCTTACGAAGATAAGGAGCGTCGTCCTACTGTAAAACGTAAAATAAATCAATTCACACCCGAGATTTTTTCGCTCCCACCTCATGTGTCTTTAGATCTTCGTGGGGGATAAGAGCGACACGCCTAGACAGGTGCCGGTTGTTATACGGACGCCGGCCGAGCGAGCGCACATACACCGCCACCACCCAAATGGCACTCATAAATGAGACCTCTTCAGACCGTGGCTGTCAACCACCGATAAGCCCCTAGCCACTCAGAATAAACTACTTTAACAGGATGATTATTGTATCACCAGATCAATTCCCAATCCAGGAAGTTTCCTGCGATCGAATGGGGAGACTAAAATCTCTCACAACGAGGCGATGTCTATGCGGAAATAACTTCCCCAAGTGATTAGGTAATGCAGGTCGCCATCCAACCAAATCAATTCGGCTCGAATGAATCGATTCACTACTGATAAGACGGTTCACTACTTTTGAGCGCACCGACGCCCCATACTAATCATTTTACTCGATAAAAAGACGCGTTTTCAACGCAGTCCCAGCCAAGAAAACATACACACGTTGAAATGTTGGCCGGTCGCAATTCGAATTCAGTCGCGACGGGGGTGAAACGAGTGCAAAGCAATGAAAAACGTCACTAAAGAAGAAGGAGCAGCTGCTTTGTGAACTGAATGAAAGCAGAGGGGAATCTTTCGCAGTGTTCTTCAATGAACAACGAAAACTGTACCCTCAGTACTAATTTAAAACAAGGAAATAACACATTCGAAAAGAATTGTAATCTCTCATCGTTCTGGTAATTGTCAAAGTACGAATTCGAATTTTCGCCAGATGTGTAAATTTCAAAGCACCCTTTTCTCAAATGAAAAGCCGTCAGTTGATTAAAAGTTCCAAAAAGAATCCAAGTAACTTCAAAGAAAGTAGGTGGGTAATATGAAAAACTTAAAGCGATTACAATTGCTCATACTTGAGAAAAGACTGGAAATTCAGAAAAAATGTGAAGTTGTATCGTTTATGAGTCGAGAGTCGGACTCAAAAATAGAAAAATGTCTGCAAATACAAAGGCGGGAGTTTTTCTGAAATAATGCTACTTGTTCCACCTTAGATACTATGAGTACATTAGAATGAATGATCCCCACTTGAGTGAGATCGTATTTTCGAAGAAAGGTGCGAAAAAAAAGAGCTTCGATCAACTACTTGATTCAATTTAGACGAACGCAGAACTCGAAAACAACAGATGAGCTCAGTGAAAGTGATGAATGAAAAAGAAAATTAGGAAATTGTTCGAGTTTAAACTAAAAAAAGAAAAAATAATTCGAAAAAAAAGTTTCATGTTGGTAAAAAAAATACATCAAAGACGTCCGAAACGAGTTTTCCTGAAAAGAACCTTATACAAACCCGACGTCTTTGAAAAGGTGCAAAAGTGAAAGAAACATTCTCCTCTATAGAGGTCATTTCGAAGAAAAAAAAGAACCTAATAGAAAACAACACATTTTCACTCCAAAGAGGGTAACTTAACAGAAAAACTCGTCCGAATTGGAGTGTTTGGAAATCAGGATGAAAGAATGCTTACCTATTAAGGGATCACCATTAGGCCGAGATTCTAGCTCAGTCTCTAGAACAACGTCCTTCTTATCTTCAGCCAATTGATGACTAGACTGGGCATTGGTTTCGAGATCTTCGGCGTCTGTTCGTCGAAATACTTTCACCTCATCGGCGCCCTCGTCCGCCATGACAAGACGGGGTAGGTCGTCGTTCGTCGTGCAAAGGATTCAGACGGCGTCGTTGTCGTCGTGGGGCGGCGTCGATGGATTCAGAAAACGTCTGTTTGCGTCACAAGATCGCACACCTTCTAATGATAGCAACGTTCATTGAGCGGTGGTAGTGATGGTGGCTGCCTGACGGCCGCCTGCCAACTCTGCGTCTCTGCACCGGTGTAGCCAACGATGGCTCTCGCCGTCTGCACACTCGTGCCGCCAAACTCACCGCCGTCGTCGCGCCGTCGCCGGCCACGCCCTTTCGACTGCCGCCGGACACCTACAGTACCACCGTATCGCCGACACCTGCGAATCCAAGGGACGCGCACATGTCGGTTCAAATCGGGGAGGCGACCTTGGAATTCGAATCAGACGTGCTTCGGCCATTGAAACTCGCGACGCTCATGAAATTTGACGAACGGCGACAGTAGCGCGTTTTCGGAGCAGAGACGCATGAGTTGATACAAACGAAATGGGACGAGATAACGACGACACGAATTAACAAATACGATCATAAATGAGATGAAGCGGTGACATTGGTTGTAGGTGTAGGTGAGTGAGTGAGAGAGAGAAAATGCGACTGATAGCGGTGTCAGGCTGAAAAAAACGAACGTGGTGCGATTGTCGTCGCGCGGCTGACGACAATGTCCTTGGTGAACACAGAAGATGGACTGCCGTCGTCGCCGGCCCGACGATGTTTCGCGTCGAACAACGAGAGACAAATAACCGCAGTTCGTAACTCTACTGGGTCGAAGTGCTGCTCCCATTAGGCTTCTAGTAAGGGACCAAGTGGTCTATAGGATGAGCGAAATTGGTGTGTGTTAAGATTGCTGTTGTCGCAAGGGAGGCAAAGACTGTGGGTGGGTGTGTGTGAGGTAGCCGCCGTCACCCCCTTCCCCCTTCCGACCTCCGAGGTGCCGTCGAAGGTGAGCCATAAAAACGCTCCATCGCGGCATCGTGGTCCCTCGCCAAAGGTGCCGCTACACAAAGAATAACAAGCAACTAGAAAAATGTTAGCATAGGAGGCCGGAATTAGTGGTGTGAGGACATGGTCTAAGAGCATTCAGTTCTATAACTCAGGGGGCTAAAGGAAATGCCCCTGTAAGGAAGTAGGGAAAGGACGAGGTGAAAACGAATTTAGGAAAGCATGACAGACTCCGCCCAGAAACTGAGGTTCTCCTCAGCTGAGATTTCTAAATTCTCCCAAATTTTTTTCGTCAGGCCCCATGACCTCAGTATCGTAACATACCTCTACAAGGAATTGAGACGAAGTAACAAATCCTCGCCGCAGGATTTCCTAGTTTGAAGAAAAAGAGAACACAAGGAACTTCCAAAAATGGATAGTCTTCTTAGAAGTGGCTCAAGCTGTCAGATCAAAGGCTTCGGAGAAATTGAGCTTTTCATTCGGAAAACTGGGTTTCATGTAATATGAGTCCCTTCCACAAGAGAGCGGTATACTTCAGGAAAAGAGGAATTTCTGTGTTCACATGGATCAAATCGCATGAGTTTCGGTCATTCCGTCCCATCTTAATCGAATCTCAAATGACCCGAATATGGAAAAAAGCTCAACATTCAAAAATTTTGCTTCGTAATGAAGTTGTCACGGCTGAAGAGCCCTACTACATCTTCAAAATCGGATTACCGTACTGTGCTATCGCCAAACCTGTCCGCTAGCTCCCACCGTAACATCTCATCCAATTGGTTATCTCCTCAAGAAATCATGCTAACAAGAGGTAGGGAAAATCACTCAGGGATAGTCTAACGTATCTCTATGGCATATTACTTGATGAATTAGATTGTACATTAGTAAGTGGGGTAGAAGTTACCCAGTAAATCTACAACAGTTCTATCGAGCTGAACAAGATCAATCGGTATTCAGAGTATAACTCCTCATCAATGAGGACATAAAATCTCCAGAAGAAAAACGAAGTAAATGAGAAAAAGAGGGAGAGAGGGTTTCTTTTCCGAAGACCAGGTTTGGTTCGGAAAAAGGAGAGTTTACGATTAGTAGCCACGAGAAAAAAAAGTAGAAGGAAGGATGTGATTTCAAAGCCGACCGACGTTCCTGTCAAAGAGTTACCGATGGCGAAGAAATGGGCGGGGCATGTTTGAGGAGTGGGTGGATAGAGGGGAAGGAGGGGGTGGGGGGATGGTGGTGGTTCGTTCGTTCAACCATCAACCGTCCATCCATCCGTCCGTCCATTCGAGTCCGGCTAAGAGGCCGTCTGTTGAGACAAAGGAGTGTTGCCTTAAGCGAACCTCTACAGTTAATGACACTTGACATAACACCCTTAGGTACGTGATCATATTGAGGCGATGAGATGGCCGTGCTTGGTTTTCGGTTTGGCACAATAGCCATTTGTGAAAGGGGGTCTCGGTTAAGTATAGCCAATAAATCGATCCATTAAAAATGAGAAGGACCAGATGTGATCACAATGAGAAATGACATCGAGAATAACTCATTGAGGAACCAAATGGTGTCTAAAATTTTTAATAGTAAAGTTTGAGCATAAGAAAAAAAATTGAAAATTCAGGGTTAAGCCCACAGGACAACTTCTGTAGCAGTCCTTCCCTTGAAGACTGTTTTCGAAAAAACCCATGTGTGCTGTTTCCACGAAGATGGTGGAAATGATGATGATACTCACAGAAAGCAGACTTCTGTTTTTATGGCCTACCCCACTGTCCAAGAAATTTAACGGATTTCCAATTGGGAAATTTGATGCCTCCGGAGGTTGAACTATTACACGGCTAGTGAGAGTTCCATTACTACGATGCCATTACGAAGCCAAAAAACTCGATCATTTAGATTCGCTAGCCGCCTCTAGTGTGATCCCTGAATCTGAGGTGAAGGTCTGGTGAATGAGAACGGAAGATCACAAGATTTTGATGGATTTCCTCCAAAAATTTCAAGCAGTACGCTAAAGAAGGTAGGGGAAGAATGAAATGGGATGGATCTTCAGGGATAATCATTCTATAGAGGTAAATAGATTTGTGAAAATTGGCATATAAATTTCTCCTTCCTGAAGATCTTTAGCCTTGGGGTGCCGAAGAAAATGAAAGGGACCCGAGTGAAAGGGTACAAG